AAAAAACATATATTTAACACTTGCGCCGGGTATTTAATGTTCGGCTCCGCCCGAACTTAGACTTTCTTACTTGTTTCTATTCATGTACATACATACATACATACACATTTTTTCTATATTTATGTATTTACATATATCAAGGTAAATATCTGCTAATCAGCAAACACTTTAAAGTAAACGCATAAATTGTTTGATGAAATCAAGGGTTGTGCGAACGCCGCACACTTTGGGGTTGTTGATTCTAAAATTACGAGTGTATATATACCGTTTTGTAAGCAATGTTTCAGCTTAGTAATCAAGTATATTTTTATTTTCCATTTAACAATCCAAATATAGCTATTTACACATGCAGCGGAGCAGGCGTGAATCGATTTGCATAAATTACAAAGGTAAATATTCAAATAGAAATTTTGATAAGCGATTATTCTATACATATGTACACTTGTTTGCTCTTAATCACATATGTATGTATGTATGCAGTTGAGATTTTTGACTTCCACCTATTTATCAAAAATCAAATAAAGTTTGCAAGTGAGAACGAAAAACTTAAGTCATCATACCGAGTAGGTTATGCATTAGAGAGAAACGGATTAGGCAAAAAGTTGCATTTGTGTTGAAAATTATATTTTTCAATCGAACCGATTTTTTGAAAGGAGATATGTCGATGTTGGCAGCTTGTTAAAAAAAAGAAATAACTATTCCTTAATGAAAATGTTGCGTCAGTGTCGGAAGCAGCGGTGGCCTATAAATTTCTACTTTTCAAATTCGAGACGACCGGTTCGGTAAACTGACAGGTATAAGCAACCATACATGCATCTATTAATAGGTATTAATGCAATTGTACTTTTTCAGCTATTTTATAATTTGAAAGTACATTCAGTACAAACATAGAATTTTCGGTACATTTTCATCTGAGCCAAATAAGTTCTTCTAGAATTTTTTTCCTCCTTGTATTTATTTCATTCCGATTGGTTGGTTGGTTGTAGTGCCTACCAAGTTACACTCAGGATTCAATTAGCGCATAGTAGCACCATTTTGTTGCACTTCTCGCCGACAATTTTGTTCTACCGTAGCCTATCTGTCAAGCATTTGTGTGGTTCAAATAAATCATTTTGACCCGCTTATAAATTTGTGCATATCGCTTATTGTAGCGCTAGATGAACCCGCTAACTGCATAACTGTGTGTTTCCCGAAAGATTTGTTCCTTATCATCTGCTTGGCCCCTTCTCCATTCTCTTCTGGATGGAAACCGTACCACCACTTTTAAGCCAAAATCCTGGCTCGATACTTTGTAGTCCGTGGTTTTATTTTCTATCGGACCAATACCTAAGATTGAGCTATGCCCAAAGGTCCTTATTTTCCACAGCCCGGATACCCTGAGTCTTAATGCTGAGTACATCGCCAATTTCTTTAGGCACAGATCAATAGGAATCATATTGAGGACGACATTCAGTGCTTCCGAAGGGCAGAATCTGAATGCCCCAGTTATTCCCGAACAAGCCGCTCTTTCTAAGCTACTTAGTATATTGAAGTCTACTTAAAGCTGGCCACCAAAATAGTGCGCCGTAGGTATCGATCGGCCTTATGATAGCGGTGTACATTCACATCACAAGTTTCGGTTTAAATCCCTAGTTTCTACTAAAGATCCTTTTACAAGTATAGTATGCGATATAGACCCTCTCTTCACGTTTTCAAGGTTAATTTCCCAGTTTAGTTTAGTGTCTAGGATGATTCCCAGATATTTTGTATTGGATGATAGGAGGCCTGTCTTTCCGCCTATGGACAGAAGTCCAAATTGGGGTATCTTATTTCTGTTTGTAAATAAACAATAATAACTCGGTAATTTCAACCTAGTGCCAACAAATCCATCTGGGCTTGGATAGCATAAGCCCAAGGGTCACGAACTTTGTGAAGAGTTGTTTTCTCGAACACATCTCTTCTTAATCAGGCAGCGTCTATGTTGCTATAGGATTTTCCAGATATGTATATATGAGAAACCAATTCCATACTCATGGAGAAAAATTGGGGTTATTCGAAAAGGGGGCGTGGTATCTACCATACAAATTTACTTGTTTATACTGTATATCTGTAGAGGTGTTTATAGTAGAGTACTAAGGGCCAGTTTTTCAGTGCCAGTTTAAACTTAGATTAAATAAATTGAGTTTAAATTGAACAGCTGGCTGACTTTTGATTGGCTGATCTTAGTTTAAACCCGCCACATCGGGAGTTTAAACTTACACCCCTATTCTGCAACTCTTTCGTATTCGGATTTTGCTACGAATCGTAGAAATAGTATGCTGCAATCCGAATCGTATTTTCGAACTTTCGAAATTCGTAACAATGGCATGCCTAAAAACGAACGAGTAAGCTGTTTTGCGTAATTTTGTACGAAAACAATTCTGTGTCGGAGGAGAAATAAAATATGTATATCGATGTGTGTTTGCAAGAAATATTGGTGGTGCTCATTTAAACAGATAAATTTGCCTTTCGCATATACGTATATTTTTATCCACTGCTTTATATAAACGAGCAAAAAATAATCTTTGTTGCCCCTTATCGATAAACTTGGGTCCGGTTTAGTTATCTGTACAATGATTTTCGGTTGTTGTGTCCAAACGCATAACCCGAATACAAAAACTTTAACATACACGTGTAATGTAAAGGATTCACATTTTATTTAGGATAAATGTTTCAAATTTCCTACCACTAGCTTATTAGTAAACTCGGTTTTCACTATGCACTTTTTTGCAAATTTCGACGTGGGCTCTGCGCAAAAATACTGTGAACGGCGTAGCCGGAGTGATATGCACAAGAAATGTTGTATACCTTTGACACGCGGAAGCCCCTCTTCCCCGCAACACAGAAAGGAGAATTCTACTTAGTAAGGGTTATAATCCCTAAGCGCGGCCGAAGGCAGAAGCGAGCGCAAAAGGTGATGGACCTAACAAAGTGCATGTTTTCAATGGCTTGGAAGAAGCTGTTAATGCACTAACTGGATTGAGAACCAGAGCAGAAGCGAGCGCAACAGGTGATGGACCTAACAAAGTGCATGTTTTCAATGGCTTGGAAGAAGCTGTTAATGCATTAACTGGATTGAGAACCAGAGCTTCAGGCATAGGAGGAGTTCTGGCTTGTGGTTCAACAATTCAACCAGAAGCTGACATATATGCGCCCATGGTTACTATGCCCGACAGCTCCGCATACCTTTGTGAATCCATTGCCACAGCGCCCTCTTACTCCGCTGCTATAATTGCAAATGCATCAGAATCCATCATTTTCCTCAAAATATGTAAAATTAACCAATTTTACGATGATGAGTGTTTTTTTAATTCCTTTCCACTTTGTTTTCCTTCATTCAGCTATCTTCGAAAAACAACTGATAGCTGGAAATGCTGCACATGTTTCCGCAAGGGTTGCAGCATTTGGATTTTTCGTTTACGAAAATTCGGGTTCTAGAATAAGGGGATTAGTTTAAACCACGTACGTGCACTGAAAAACTGGCCCTAAGACTTGGTATTGAGATATATAAAATCAATTCCATACTCATGGAAGAAAAAAGGGACGCAGAACTTCCGGTACAAATTGACATTTTCTTAACTCATATCCTGGAAGTATTTGTGGAAGTATACTGGAACTTGGTATGGAGTTAGGTATTTTAAATTGCTTATTGCTCATGGAAAAAATGTGAATTGTTAAAAAAAGGAGGCATGTCAACTCCCATACATACTAAAACTTTGATAATGGATATATTGTATCTCTAGAAGAATAGAAAATCTGTGGAAGTATATTAAATTTGTTATGGAGATTTATTTTACCAGTACCGTACTGACAGACAAACTTTCGGTTAGTGCAAAAGGGAGATCCGGCATGTGCCATATAATCTAAAAAATCGCATGATGCATACCTTTTGGAGGCATTTAGCTATAGTCCTGAGGAGGGTTTTTTTTATGGGATAAAGAGTACGTTCATGTATGTCATAATCCGAAAATTGTGTTTTTACGTGACGAGTAATACGAAATCTTATGTAACGATTCGCCCAAAGTTGATGATATCCTTCGTATGCTAAGCATGCAGACGAGATTTTGTAGTTTCACTCGCTTAAAAAACACACATCTATAAAAAATGGACGTGAGGTGAAACATGCGGGTATCAGCTGGTATCCTAATAAATCAGAAGGTTCCAGTGTTCTAAGTCAAAGAAATTCCAAAACTTGTTTTTTTTTAATATAAGTACTTTAAATATATTTTTAATTTTTCTTCAAAACCAACTAACAACAACAATGTAACAATTCGTTTATAACAAATAGAACTTAACAATGCCTAAATGCTATACAAATTATTATGTTTTCTATAAATTATTAAATTAAGGATTTCTATTTCTATTACATACATAGAGTAAACATAAGTTTTATGTAATTATATTGCTTAGTATAAACATGCTAGCTTACAAACTATATAACCGATTTTATGTAACTATAAGTAGGTACTTATTTATTCACTAAGTTGGCTAATTAAATATAAAAGAAGCTCGTTGTTTGTTGTGGTGTTTGTCTTTATTGCTCTGATTATGTTAACTAAGCGTTTTGTTTTGTAAAATATTATCATCATATCTTATTTATTTGTATTGATATTATTTATCTTATTTGTATTTTTGATTTGTCCAAATAACCGCCCTCTGTCGAATCCTTAACCCTTCATTGTTGACCAGTTTTTAAACTCTTTTTTGTATACGCCATAAGCTAGCCAATAGAGCAGCATAAAGAAAGCAAACGACATCGGGAAAGCGACGCGCGAAACTCGATCGATAAGCGAGACGCTATTCACATAGCGAGTACCTGAAAAATTTAGAATATGTGTAGGTATTAAATATGTAAAATATGCAATTTGGCAGAGGTTAATCAAAAACGAACATCTCCCTCTTATTATTTTTGTTAAATCTTACAAGATTCTAAGGTATACAAAAGACGGATAGAAGCCTTGCATACCTCTTTTTTTAATAGGGGATGATAACAACATTTATTAATCGTAAAGGCTTGTTGGTGCCTATTATCGCCAACGAAGCTTTGTTGACCGAAGGCAAGCCGGTATGGTCTTGCTTATGCTCAGTACTTGGATATGAAAAAGATATGGGATACACAACAAACGCATATGATGACACGAAATTGAAGGGGACGCAGAATGTAGTTTAAGCTAATTGCAGACTACAGCATGCGGGATTACTACTCTATGAACAAAAAAAAAAAAACACATTGTGACTTTGCGAACGCTCTCACAACTGAATTTCGGCTCCTCACCGCATCTCACGTTCCATTGGTTATATGAGAAGGCGGTAGAAACCATTCAGCACTTCCTTCACACGCGCTTCAAATATTTTATAACTTAGCACCCGTGTATAACCGATCATTCTCTTGGACAAGCGCCAATCGGGGCTTGAGGACCACTCGAAACAGTTCGGGAAATGCTTGAATTCCCGATTACCTCGGTTACTTCGAAATGAAACTGATTTGGGTCCCAGGACAACTGCATGGATCACAAATTACCTAGTTGGGACACTTTTGGGGTCATCTCTCCAGACAAGGAAGGCGTAGGAGTATCTGTGACACCTGTAGACGGTTCCTGAATGGGCAAGCGTATGGTTACCTCAGTGGGGAGACATGCGGTCTTAATCCAAAAGTTTTACTCTTGATGTGCGCAGCGGTTTAACGTCCGATCTTATGATATGACTCTTCGGTATAGTGGACAACCCTACAAAACTAGTTAAATCATGTAAAACTAGGGCAAGTTCAGAGGGCCGCATGCATTGGGACAAAAGAGGCAATGATAACTTGCTCTATTGACATCCTCACATAATTCACACCGTAACAGCATCGCCTATAATACTCCGAGAAGTGGGTATATATGTATATGGAAACAAAGAGCTATTAGGCATTAGCTATATAATATCTTGACTGGCTTGAGCGCCATAGACTAGCTACTGATTACATACGACTAGAAATAAAATTTCCCAGGCCTTTCGGGGTTATTCTCCCATCGAGATCCGCCTGGAATGGGGTACTTGATATCTCCGTCGACGGCCTGTGGATTTGGAATAGGCGTTTTCCACGAATTCGTAGGATTAAGAATATCAATCAATCTGCCCGATTTTGCTAGTGTTTTCCAGGCAGAAGTATTCGCTATAGCTGAAGGCTGTTGTAGAACGCAGCCAGGCAGCCGCTAAGGTAGAGTATTTTATATCGAAGTTGAAACTGATCAGAAGGTGTAGGACTCTTTTAAACACAGTATTTAAGTAGTCAGCTCAATCTAGATTTGGTTTGGATTCCTGGTTATAGCAATATTCCCGGAAACGAGGCTGCAGGTAAGTTAGCCAGCGGGGCTCCACATTGGCCTCGCTCAAAGATCGTATGTCACCCCCAATTGGAACCACATACAGAGACGTCTTTCTCAACAACCTTCCAAAATCAGTTCAGAGATGGTGCATGGCCGAGGCTGCCGCATATTAAAACTTATGTGGCCAGTGTATAACCCTAGTAGAACTAACACAACCCTTTTTAAAAAACCCAGACCTGACGTTTTGAGGCTAGTAGCTTTTCTTTTGGCATTGGCGGATTGGCACCCACGTCAGAAGACTGGCCTGCGATGTCTTCTGTAGAAGTTGTAGGAATGAAAACGAACAGGAAAGAGTAGAACACCTACTTTGCAGGGGAACAAGAACGCCATACTAGAGGCATATGAGTTAGTGTCATTAAAAGAACTGTCTGAAATAAGCCTCCATAGCATACTCAAATTTATTAACCACGCGAGTTGGTTTTAACATATTCAGTCGAGGTTTATGTTATCAAAATGGCGTTTAGCCTCTAATGTGAGAATTAACGTGTTTCTGTCACCATTTTTACCTACCCTCGCCTAGCTTAGCGGTTGCTATGTGAAACACATCCTAAGTTGCGAAGTCCTCATGGAGGATGGTCGACCACGGACGGTCAAAGGAGCTCCTGCAGCTGGCTAAACGCCAACTTTCGATTCCAACTGGTGTCCTAACCGGGAATTGTTCATTAGAAAGCAGCAAGTTTGAAGACTGATGAGGTAGACTCATCTCAGCACTTCCTTCTCACATAACTTGTTCATTAGATTAGAGTCTAAATATATTGTCTTCTTTTTAATGAACACCGCGTAACTTTCTATAGTGGAAGTCAGAAGCCAGCGGAACTTCATTCAGAGCACCCAGCGCTTTTCTTTACAACTTCGAACGGATTACCTGGAGGTACGGTCCTAGTAAAAATCGACTCAGTGGTTATTTATAAGGTTTTCATATTATCCTCGCCTCTTAGAGTTCGTCTCGGACAAAACTTTAAATATTATCATATAGAATAAATTACGTCAGTAAACTTGAGAAATGGGCGAAGTGTCGAAACAGCTGTAGTAATTTATTACTGCTGTTGGCTTTCATATAAACTCTGTGTAATATTGTTTTTCATGTGAACCTTGGGTAATACCGTCCTTTTATGTAAACCCTGTGTAATATTATTTCTATGTTAACCTTTTATTAATGTACCATCCCTATCCCTGATCGATAAATGGCATAGTTATCGATGTGCGACAGAAATCTAGGAGCACTAAGCCTTTTTCGATCTGGAAATAGAGGGAAACACACGAAAGTGTGAGTATTTATTTTATCGTAATTTATCTGACATAATTTTATAAATCCTTATAGGAAATAAAACTCATCACCACGTTTTCACTTCTACGTAATTGCTGGTGTTTTATTTACCCCCGCACCAGATCGGCAATCAACAACTGCAATAAAGTAAAAACCTTAACTGGGATCCTGCACGTAAAGGCTGCTTCCATCGTATACATTTCCATATTCGCGCATTAAACCGCAAAGTCTACGCTTTAATGACGAAATCACAGTCAATCCATCTTTTTCAGTAGTTTTTCATAGTGCCTAAGCTATTTTGAAACTTACGTTTCAATTACTCTATTGATAACACCAAGGACCACCCCTAGTTTGTTTGAGGTGAATTCAAATATGTTCTTAAAATTTGTTTGATCACCTTTTGTTACCGCCGCATCGCGCTCGCGTTGTTTTCTAAATTTCTCATCACCAATTAGACAAAGCCACATTTGACGTGCTTTAGAGATAACTGGCGGCTCGGTTTGTGTGGTGCGTTCCATGGTCGAAGCATGCGAGGAGGGAGCCGGAAAGATTTGTGTCGGATCCTGCAAAAAAAGAGATGACAAATCAATAGTAGTTTTACATATAAAAGTTAATTGAAGTTAGTCAAAAAAAAAAACTCACATTATAAATAGGACATATCATTGCATTGCGCTTGCAAAAGTTACCAGCTAAAGAATGTTGAATTTCGCAAACAGATTCATTACTGCGTTTTATCGAGCAGCTCTGTATGTCTTCTTCGGCCTCATCATCAGCAATGCCCTCGTCAATGTCCTCCCATTCATCCTCGCTTATGGGTATTTCACCGCTGCCGACCTACAACAAAAGACACATATAAAATTGTACGTACTGCAGACTTAAGCATGTAATATGCACTTGAAGGAATATATATTTTTTCTCTTCTCGCATTACAGACCTTTGTAAAATAATGTACGCCTGCGAATTCCAAAAGCGTCGCAATGCAGTAAAGGAAACTCATCAGCAGAAACCAATCTAATGCTGTAGCATATTTCACTTTGGGTAAATCAGTGCGTGAATCCAGACTTATTGTGGATAGAGTGAGCACAGCAGTCACGCAAAGTCCGACACGATCGCTAGTTGCCTCGCGATGTATCCAGAAGGAGACCCACGATAAGACCACTATCAGTATGCAGGGCACATAAACCTGTGGATGGTAGTCACTTGAGTGTTATTTAAAGTTTATCTTCTAGTCCGAGAGGTGAGCTCACCTGTATTAGAAAATAGCCTGTGTGTCGTTTAAGATTGAAAGCTACATGCAGCACAGAGAAATCTCCTTCGCGTCTGGTGTACGTGAAATTGCGTTGTTTCATGCTGATCAAATCGAATTGATTTAGCGTCATGCCCGGCACAAACGATACCGCATCGTCTTCACCTTTCCACTCGTAGACTAGTTGGCGATTTGTGTAACCATCTATTGGGAGGTAAAATGTTCTGCAATAAATCAAGTTTTTTGTAAAAATTTTACTTTTACTTACAACTGCCGATTATAAGTGGGCATGATTGTAGATCCATTGGAAAGTTTTTCAGCTCCATGGGGCAGGTTGCTTTTATGGTGAGTCTGTAAATAAATGTAAAATAAAATATTTATGCAGATGAATTGTATTTAGTTAATTAATCCTTACTAAGGCGGCCGCAGTGGTATAGTGGTAAGCAGTGCGCGCTTCCACTCCACAGGACCTGGGTTCAAGCCCTCATAAGCATACAATCGCCGTTCGGAGTTGGCGTAAAACTGTCGGCCCCCCTCCTTTATGTGACAACATCAACGCGCACGCCACAGATCCGAGGAGAAGCCCGGCCAAACACAAACATGTATGTAACAGCTAATCTACTATAATTATTATTATTCTGAAGCCGATACGGAATATTTGTCTAGCTAGTTTTAGTATTAATCTGCAAGTTCAACCTTGTTCCCTTTGGTGAAATGAACTTCAGCTTAATCCCGAATATTTTTTGAGGGGGCACTAAGACTACGGCGGAATACTCGGTAGAACCCAGGTTCGATTCCTGATATACATATATAAAATCCAAAATGATCGTAAAAGTTTTTCGTATCACCGATCGCCCCTCACCAGGGCATAGCAAAGTTTCTCAGCAATTCTCTGTCATGAAAAATTTTTTCAAACATATCGCACACCGTCTTAAAAAGAGTCACAACTCAAAAGAATACGTTCTTAGCACATGGTAATCATATGGGACTTTACCTTAGGTTTTTTTTTAACAAATTATAACAAAAATTTGCTCCAGCTTTTGCTAAAGGGTAAATAAAAGCTCGGTTTACATTTTTAGCGCATAATCTCAATAATACCAAATTTTGAGTTGTGACGGCTACATTAAATTTCTGTTTCCATACTACATAAAAACATCGGAATTTTTTAAATTTAACTGGGCAAATCTCTTGGTGCTTAAACTAATTTTTTAAATATTTTCGTAGTTTCAAATTGTACTTTTTAAAATATGTATGTACATTAGGATACGTCCCTGGTACTGTTTTTTCATTGTCACTATAAATATATTATTATATTTTAAAACTTCCCGCAAAATATTACGAAAAATATTAAGATTTACATAAGCTGGGTTGTGTTGAAAATAACGTTATTAAAACTAGTTTTTTTTTTTAATTACATTTGATGATAAAAGAGTTTAGCTTTAAAAGTATGCATAAAATCGTTAAATATTTTGGTGAAAGTCTAAAATTATATTATATTTTATAATTCCGGTAAGAAACCCGCACAATATTTTTGTGATACCCCTAATGTATATACATATTTTTGTTAAGTTTTATATTTCTTTTTTACAAAATTTTATTTCAGAAAGAAAATAATAAAATTTTAGATGAAATAAATTTTAAATACGGCCTAAATAATTCTTTTCTAAAAATGCATTAATTTAGCAAATCAACAGCAACAAATAACTAGAATATTAAGTGTAACAAATTAAGATCAGAAAAAGAAGAAATCGAAGAAGAAGAGAAAAGAAAAAAGCTCCCAAAGTATTTGCCTCCAAGGTTGGAAGTTTTTTTTACACATAAAATCAAACCAAAAAATTAAATTCATATTAACTAAATAGCTAGGTAAGTCTAAGTGATAAGGTAAGTGAGAGAGATATACATACATACATACATACAATGCAATTAGAATTAAGTAAGATACTTATATGAAGACGTTCAAAAACAATAATGGTGTAAGGAACAATGAAAAACAAAAACCCAAACCAAAACCAAAAACAAAAACAAAAACTCGATTTTATTGATGGTAAATTTAATGGTTACTAAAAGTAAATAAGCAACAAAAACAAAAAATTAAGAAAATAGTGAATAAATTTGAAAAGCAAAATTATACTAATTAACTCAAACCAAACCAACTACGAAGAAAAAGTAAACGAAAAACTAACACAACAAGTAAGAAAGTCTAAGTTCGGGCGGAGCCGAACATTAAATACCCGGCGCAAGTATTAAATATATGTTTTTTCACCCTTCAGAAACCTTCCGCTAGATGGTAAGCCGAGGTGTATCAATTTTGAGCAAATTAGCGTCCTTCAATTTCGAAATATTGGAGTTTCAAGCATTTCTTAAATTTACCGTTATATGAGAATCGGCCGTTATTTTAGTCCGATTTCAATAATTTTCAACGTTTTGGTTTTATGTGGCAAGTACAATAACCATACCGAGTTTGGTACAAATTGGTAGAAC